CAATTCGTTAATACTAATTCGTAACTTGCCAAACATGACATGTAATAAGAACGAAACTTTTTTATTGAAAAGAGCCTGTTTGTTCTTTAATTTAAGGTCGTAAATATGTTTGTGAATACAATTAAATTTGGCTTAATGTATTGCTTGTGCTATTTTAAGAACAAAAGAATAGCATACATCTTTTCATCATCCTTGCTAAATAATTAATTTGTCACATTATGAACCGTAGTCTTAGTCATCATCAAGAGCAACAATAATTTTAAAAGACTGGCTGTGACAGTGAAATGCCAATAGTACCTGATCGAAAACGCTTGTGGTATAACGCAATCACGTAGAATTTGTTCATATATTTTTAATGTTAAGATGGCTTAGATTCAATGCTTAGTGCATTTCTAAGTCCCTAATTCTTTGCAAGATGAAATGATTTAACAGGTAACTATTGGGTTTAATTTGATGAACAAGAAAATGTCACTATGTCCGTCTACTAAATAATACATTGTATGCACACAACACGTAGAGCATGAAAATAAAAAGACATACTCGAGTAGACTGACTTCCAGCGATAAGACGACCAGAGTTCACCGCCATTCTTTGTCGAATACGATCTGTCAGATTCCGAGACTTGTTTGGAGTTTCTTGTAGCTGAATTGCCTCGCCACCAGTCCCCATTGCCGTCGCTATATTCGTTGCTCCACTAGCTCTGCGTTTACGTCCATTGAGAAAATCATTCGAAAGAGATAAAGGAGCCGTCCTGCTTGTTAATGGACTTACAATCAGACAACCGGCAGGACTTTGATGAAATCCAGCACTGGAGCTACACACACAGCCGCCAACTCCTCCAACGTTACTACCGTGTGTACTTGCACTGCTTCCACAGGTAGCGGCGGCCAGGACTGCAGGTGGACTGGCCAAATGGAAAGAAAGCTGGTCCCGCTCACCAATAGCTTTAGTTGGAGTTTGGCAGAAACCTGTTAAAGATGATAGCAGACAGCCAAGACCAGAGTTGCATGTAGAGCCACCAGCAGGAATGACTGATAGAAAATGAGTAGTATGCTGCAGCATGCCAGCCCGGTTGCCGAATAATCCTAGTGAGGCAGTGTTTCTGCCAGAGAGATGGTTAGTGCAGGTCATTCTGTCGAGCCCAATTGCAGGAGTTGAAGTGGATGGCGATGTAGTTAAAGCACTGGGACAGGCAGTCGTATTATAATTAGTGTTAGCATTTGGAGCGATGGTACCGGTGGCCAGGCCAAGACAGATGTCAAGCCATGAGGGAGAGCAGGGCAAGTCGGCAGGAGACGCGGCACGCTTTATACAAACCAAATCAGAAGCAGACTAAGCAGAATATTCGGAGGTAATGGAAGGGGTTAAAACAAGTACATTCATGAAGATTGGGCTTCTACAATTTTGGATTTTTTTAAATTTACTGGCGATAGTATCACGTGGGAGGACAATACAAATGATACTCTATACATGAAATTATTCAACACGAGTGCAGCAAATTTAAAAGTTATATTGGTTTAGAATTTATTTTAATTCATATTTCGACAAATTTAAGAAAATTGTCATAATTATAACAGTAACCTAAATGTAATGCTAGTTATGTTTTAGAATTGTCATTCAATTTAATAACCCTAGGAGACACTAGGTCCAAGGAAATACCAATAAATTTACTGACTAAATAAATGAGCGTAATAAGCTTATTGAAAATTTTTTTAAAGATTGAATTGATAAACAGATCTTCATGAAAAGATGAAGTAATATGATCTAAAATCTGTGCAAATTTGCAACAGCTCACCTAATTATAGATATTTGTGTATGTTGGAATTTACTATTTAATCTAAACATGATTGCGCCAAAAGTACAACTAGTTTGACATCTATGATTTTATTCGCATAAGCCTTAAACCATTCTTATAAGACTTATTTAACATGTTAGCTACAAATCCACTTAGTCCGGATTCTTGCTCGACATGAACGATAATCATTATTAGGGGGCGCCAATTAAACTTTTCTCCCTCGCAACATTTGGGAGTATTCTGGTCAAGTGCGTCCGATTGACTTCTTAGGTCGAAAGACTTGGTGGATAAGATTCCCATTAGACCAATTAAAAAATATTTGGTTAAAAGAAAGTGATACAAATGCATCTTAAAATGAAAAGTAGACATTTATCATAAAAAAGTTAGTGGCTTGCATTGAAAATAGCTTAGCAAAGGAATGAATAAAATGAGATCACGCTGATCGATAACAAGTTGTTCACTATTCCTTTACTGAGTTATTTTTGTCTTCTGTTGTGAAGATATGAAGACCAGGATGGTGTAGCCTTTTGTAGGGTCAGCGATAAGGGAATCTGCAGTGTCAAGTTGGTTGTCATGCCAAATGAGAATCAATACTTTAAGGGCTTGCTCAGTAAGGCT